CGCGAAACAGTTTGTTTTCTCTATACCTGGAGAAGAAACTTGCAGCATTCAACAGAATAGCAGGAAGGCACTCACAAGTGCGACATCTTTGCTTGAACAACTCCGACCAGCACAGACTGGCACGTGCAGATCGTCTACCGGCGGACCCGGCGAAGAAAGTTGCTGACCTTGACTGTATCAACAGTTATATCCTTGACTGGAGTAAAACGCCGCACACGGCGTCACCTAGTCCAAGAGAGGTCACACCTGCCGCTGAAAGAACATACTGGGAACGAATCTCAGATATGTGGCAGGACACGAACAACAACAGGGATATTGATATCCGTCTGTTTGTTTCAGTCAAGCAGTACTATTCAACTTTTTCTAACCTTGACCTATGGTTGGGTCCCACTGACAAAGATTGGCACAGCCCATTGGGCTTCACGATACAACCAATCCTTACAAAAGGGAAACACAACCGGTCAGATGCCCAGGTCCAGAAGATCGCTGACAAGCGAAAGGCTTACAAGCAGCGTAATGCTGAATACTGGGGTTACAACGATTCATTCGTTTACTCATCCGGCAACAGCTGGTACGACAAATCGCAACCATCAGGTAGCCATCACAGATATGGAAGATTCTGGGAGTGGCCACAGCCTGAACGTCCCAGCGAGCCTGAAGGTCCTCCTCCAAGAAGGAACCAGGAATCATCGTCCTCTTCACAACAAGATCTACCAAGATCAAGGTCCAGGCCTCAAAGAACCAATATTGTTGACAAGCTCAACATGTCTTTGGAAGAGCTGGATGGACTAGAAGAAGAACCGTCACCAACAAAAAGTGACATCGAAGAACACGAAAGAGAAACATCAAACTTGATGTCTGCTCAGAGAGATGAAGAGGAACAAGAGGACGAATCCTCCAGCCGGAGAAGAAGAAGGAAGGCATCGCGTCCACCGTCTGCTCCGAGCGGCAAGGCACTCAGAACAGCTGCTACAGCAGCGGGGTTGTCGGGCTGGTTCGGACACCGCAACCGAGGTGGAGCAAACGCAGAGTCTACCAAGACTGATGAAACTTCACTTCCAACTCACTAACCAGTGAGCAAGACTTCTCCGTCTTCAGCATCACGTGGAATGTGTTCCTGCTGCTAATGGGCTTACACTGGATGTGGAAGCAGATTACCAGGCCTCCTATCAGATGTATGGAGCGCCAACAACCAAAATCAAGAGCAGCAGCGAACCAAAGAGTTCCATTCCTCGAACCCGAGGATGAACCGCAGACGCGTGAACCTTTAGGACCCAACAGGGTTAATTCCGGAGAAACAACTGATCTGCGACCTATCTGGCATACTTCCCGAAGCGAAGTCTACCACCTCTCAGACAGCTGTTACCAGCTTAAGCAAGCAAGAGATGTCTGCAAGAAGGTGCTGTGCAAAAACTGCCTCCATGCAGTACAAGTTGCGGAGATTCGCAGGAATGATCCTTTCCAAAGAGGTGATACACGACCACGTGGCACCGAAAGAGACATTGAGCGCTTCCAGACTTACGATGATGCAAGTAACACTCCTCACATGACACAATTATTCCAGGATGCCTTGCATGCACAAATGGCCGAGGAAGCCATGCAGATTACCTACACATCGATCCCTAAGGGATCCTCGGCAAAGGCCAGAGGTACATCTGCACTCCCAAGTGCCGCATCGTCATCAGCGCCCAAGGCAATGCCACCAGGGCCTAACAAGGCAAACATGTCACCTCCACCTAAGAGTCCTCCGCCAAAGGCGAAAGGAACAGTACCTTCTGATCCTCCAAGACCAAAAGGTCCTACCAGAAGAGGAGGTCAGAATCGGCGTATTCAACGAAAGGCAGCTAGAGAAGCCCACAACAGTGGACTCTGCACCTATGCAGACGCTGCACTTGACCAAGCCAATCAAGGCCAGGCAATCAACGTTACGTGCCGAAACATAGTATCAAGACACGTCAGCTCTATCGATGCAACGGTAGAAGCAGCCGGCCAGTTTACACAACGCGTGCTACAGCACGTAGAAACATATGATGAAGAGGAACCGTGGAGCACGGAGTTCCTACCAATCGTGGAAGTCCTATTCAGGAACTTAAGCGGCGACGAAACAACTGTCATACATGACAATCAAACGGTAACTATGCCTCTTGCGAAATACACAGACCTCCTCAGAATCGCACAAGCATTGCGAGGCTCTATCCAGAGAGACAAGGAGGAAAGAAAGGAACATCTTGACACCATCCAAGATACTCTATCCAGAGTGGAAATCCTTCTCACAGCACTGAAGGACTCAAGGACAGTCTTTAATCAATTGGTCAATTCCTCACTAGAGATAGAGCGAAGAAATAACAATCTCAAAAATGTCCTCGAGACACTCTTTGATGACCAAAGCTCTGAGGAAGACCAATCAGAATCTGACAATGAAGAAGTCCTAACTCCTTCTGCACCACAGTACTGGAATAGCCTTTATGCCCACGCCTTATCTCCTTCAGGAGATGAAAGCGAAAGATCATGGGCGTCCTCAGACGGACAGCTTGAAAGAAGAAGGGCTGAACGGGCAAGGGCTAAGCAGCCGCAACCGGCAAAAGCCAAGGCAACTCCAGTCAGCTCACAAGCTGCTCCAAAGGCCGAGCCAAAGGCGACAACGTCCAACCATGGATATGATACTGCAGATGCCGCCTTCACCAGGGCTGAGAATAGATTACTCGGAATCTTTTCAAGTTCCGAAGAAGACCACTCAGACCCGGATGAGCCACATCCGAACGTTTACGCTCGAGCCTATGATCCAAACCTGGATCCGAATCTGAGATAAGAAAATTCTCAGAGTTTCACAACAGTGAATCACAAGGCTCTAACAAGAGCACAATGAAGGGCTGCATAATTCGGTAGTAGAACATCACCAGACCTGATCTTGTACAGATGATCTCTCTGACAAATATGCATGAGTGTGTGTGCAAAATGAGTGGAGTGTCCTCAGCAGTGTACTTCAGTGCTATACCTAGCATACATAATATGCTGTTTTTATAATGAGTCCAAAACTCCGCAACTGTGACAGTGGGCATAACAGTATATGTGTGAATGTGCGGCCATGCTTTCGGTAAAAGAAAATTAGTGTCTGTTTGAAACCATAAACCTCTAAAGGGGTAGCTCTAACAGGTACCTACAGCAATGGCTGCATGCTCATACATATACATTCCGCTGCCCATTGGCTCACAGTGGTTTTACCATATTGAGACAAGACAAGCTCTCCTTGCGTAGCAAGACAAAACAACTACTGTCCGTGTGCAGGGCGCTGCCCTTTGATCCTTAGGGAATAAACTGGTCATACACCTCCTCCCAAGGAGTATCCCTTGGGGGTGTATCGGCACAGGGGGGAGGGGGGGGCAGGGCAGGGGGGGGCAGGGCGATGGGGCGGGAAGGGGGAAGGGGGGGGGGGCAGGGAGGGGACGGGGAGGGCGGGGGCAGGAGGAGGGGAGGCAAATTCGGTAGCAAAAACGGACGGAAGCCGGGCAAGGGGGTCGAAAACAGTCGCTAAAAACGGGTGGAAGTTTGCGTTTGGGCTGCAGGGAGAAGGATTAGGTAGAGGGTTGGTTAGTATTAACCATCAAGACGCCAGAGGCCTTTGGCCTCGGCGGATTTACAAGTACACAGAATGTCAACCAGGTGTTATCTATCAATCTATCTGCCTGTCTACCCTTATCTACCTATCTATCCGTGTATCTCTCTCTCTCTCTCTCGATATATATATATATATATATATTATTATATATATATATATATGTATATATACACCTGCCTTTGTTGCGTATGCAGCTATCGACTTATGTGTGCATGCCATTTCTGACAGGAGTGGATGGGACAATGTGGTGAGGAAAGCTCCAAAGCTCTCACTTCCTTCATGCAGCAGTCGTTGCCTCACACTGGAAGTATACAATGATTGCTGCATCTGTGAACCAGGGCAGCGGTGCGCAGTGCGAGTCTCTGGAGGCTCGGGTTCAGGGAGTTGCACAGAGAGGAAGTTGCCTTCGTGCTGGTGCCCCGTCAGATATTGGGACTTGCTTGGCACGTCTAGGTCTCTCATCATATGCACTGAGGCCCAGAATGAGCGAATACACGAGCTGTTTGTTTCGGAGCTGACCGCCTGGAAGCTGAAGTAACAGCACTGTCTGCAAGATGTTCTTCCTCAGCATCAAGGACATCGATGTGGTGGTCCACAAAAGGTCCAACCGAGCCAAAGTGCTTGGGTCTTAGGACACGAACTGTGAACGCGAGAAGGTGGCCCAGGGGTTCCGAAGTTTTCCATGCGCGGGACCCATCCCTGCATCCCTGTCGCAGCGGGCATGAAAATGGCAAACATGCGTCCTGCGCCTTTCGTGCGACACACCCGCGTATCCGTCGCACGCAGCTGCCCGAGAAAGCTGTCCCCAAGTAGACACAGACATAGTCCAGCAGCATCTTGCGGCAATCTGGCGTTGCTTCCACTACGCCTTCGAATTTCAATGGGCTTTGCACTTTAATTGCTTAGGTGTGACCGAGTCGACAGTGTAGCTGAAGGGGCTTGCTTCTTGTGTGCAGGCTGGAAGGGTTGGCAGAGCCTCATCCAAGAGCGTGAGACCGGCGACTCCTGGCTGGACGAAGCCGATGGCCGAAGGCCTTGGCCTCAGACAGAGGAGACAGACGTCACGCTGAGTAGTTTGAGCTGAGTTTGCTGAGGAAGCAACTCGAAACTTTCGGGACTTTGCGAAAGTCCACCGAGGATGAAGTCATTGTACAATGCGACCTCGTATGCTTGCAGAAGCAGTTTTGGCCAAGCCCGTCAACGCCACTGAGTCTTCCGAGATCGGGCTCAAGCGTGCTGGCGCGGGCTCACCGCCATCCGGCACGGTAGCAACCATAGCCAACCTGCATGAAAGCTCCGCGTCGTACAGTTCGCAAAGGTATTTGTTTAACGATGTTAGTTGTTCAGGCCGTAGCACCATAAACATGCGCCCGTGACATCGCTGATGGCTGCCTACCCGATCCGGCTTCTGTACTTCCTCTTGGCAGGCAGCCGACCTGTTCCAATTCTTGCGGCAGCGGGGACTAATGAGCAGCAGACAAATCTGTGAACATCATGTGATGTAATTCCCAGAGGTGCTGCTGCATCATCTGCGGCGGCAGGCGCTGAAGAGGCTACGGTGCAGTCTTGCACAGGAGTCTTTCTGCTTGAGCATCTTGAGCCTGCCTCCTGTTTGCTACAATTGGTACTGCACGTTGACGGATGCAGAGAGATCGGGGAATATCTCTGATAGATACACGCTGCTGTTCGTACTCGCAGTCAAAGCCAACATGTTCCGAAAACAACCGCATTTCGCGGACGTTGTTGGCACTTATGGGGTGTTGGCTTTTGGAGGTTTCCTTTGCACTGCGCGGTGCGGGTCGTCCTTCCGAGCCTCATTCTCAGGTCTTCGGAGAGACAGCTGCATCGGGGGTTCGGGCTTGGCTTGAGGTGGCTGCCATGCATCGCTACTTAGGTTGGATGTTTCTAGCACCGATGCCCCTGGTGCGAGCAACAAGGCAACACAGAGCAGCCATGTCGTGTCGGTTCGCAGGAAAGGCGCAATGAAAAAAGGCCCTCGCATTGCCTTCCTGGCTCCGATCTGTCAGGATGCGGGTCCTCGGCAGCTTCTGCTGGAAGTCCACTTCTGCGAAAACACTCTGAACTTCCTGGATCCCGACAACATCCACCCAATTTGGACCGAAGCTTGCCTGCAGCTACCCAAAACCGCAGCAACAACAGTGAGATCTTCATGAACAACCGCAGAATCCCATTTGCGTCTCGGTGTGTCCTAAGGAACCTTCGTGGACACAAGAAGGCAGGTATTCGGAGATTCAGAAACGGGAATAAAAAAGGATGCTGCAGTTGCGGCATGCACGTGCTTGATCATGCGTGCATGTTTCCTCGCACAACCGATCCCCACCCCGTTGTCATCGTTGTTATGACGTTTAATTACACTCCGAGAGCGCGAGGGAAGTACATCCTTAAGATAAGGACTGCGGACTGCGAGATTTTCTGATGTGGACCGTGACTGAAGGTGGAGTTATTTTCTTGGCTGTGTACGTTGGCATCACCGCGGTGGGCGGCCTCATGAAAGGCTGAAGGTCATTGGAGAAGCCTGCTTGGCAGATTTGCACGAGAAAGGATGACGACACCACTACTGCTATTGGTACTGCTGCTTACGCTGCTCCTTCTACCATTCCTTGGGTCGTCAGGCCATCCAGTTCATTCCAACAGGCATTCAAACAAACAGATGCATGTGTACATGCATACGGTTTGCTCAGGTCATGATTCTCTTGGCCTGGGTGCTTGACTGCCGTAGATCTCCGGCACCTTGGCCGAAACTTTCAGCTTCCAGCATCACAGATCTGCGAAGCATGCATGAGCAGTGCAAGTAGGACTTCATTCTTATTCTTTGTCGTCCCAGGTGTTGGAGCAGATACGCGATGCACGGAAAGAAGCTAACTCGGACTCCTGCCCGCTCTGGTTTCTCTCGGAGTTCATCTCCACCATGGACATGGGAAAGTAGGAGGTTTGCCAGTAGGTTGCCCTGTCATCGACATAAGGTGCACCATGGCGAGGGAGGGGCCCTGAAAAGGAGCAACTTGCATGAAGATTGCTCGCCGTTCGGCGTCAAGCCGCAAGCACTGACTACTTTCTTCCAGCACCACCTGTACTAGTATCATCTGTTAGTGGCCAGGTAGGCGGCAAAGATTCGTGATGACTATCGCAGTTCTTCTCCACCTGGTTTCAGAATGCTGATGATGATAAGATCATCATCATCACCATCATCATCCTCTTGATTACTATTGTACACATGGCCATCATCCCGTCGCGTCGCCGAGGCTTGATGGAGCGCTACGGCACCAAGGCAGATCTGGTTTCCGAGGTGCTGGAGCAAATCACCGACAAGCAGGAAGAGGAGAAGATCAACAAAAGGAAAGCCCAACTGCGGCTGCTGTTGAAGCCCGATGCAGACGAAGCCAGGACAGGGCTAACTTCTGCGCACCAGCACCTGCAGTCTCGCTCAGTCTAGGCCCGAGGCACTGCGTCTTTTGCGTAGCAAAGCCAATTCAGATTCATCATTCGTGAGGAAGAAAGCGTGCCTTGGCCAGAAGTACGTAGTCACAGCTTGTCCGCTGGTACAGAACCACCCTGCGCAGCTCACATCCCAGCACTGAGGATCGCTGGGGTTCTCGCCCGCTTTTGCGCCCGTTTCAGCCTGAAGTTTTATTTCGCAGGGTTAGAACCTGATCCTCGGCGGCACAGAAACCAAGGTGTCCAGGAGGTAACCAGGGCCTTTGCGCTGCCCATGAAAGCCCAGGCAGCCTTCCGGTACATTCGATCGGAGGAGTTGCAGTCAGAGGGCCAGGCTGTGGCAGCCTTAAGCAGGCAGAAGGCAGTGTCTATGATGCATGACAGTTGCTCATCACACCTCTGATCTTCGATTCCAGGCAGTGCAGGAGTTCCTACTCCTGCCACAATGGCAGCAGGCTCGGATTGCAATTGTGATGTCGATCCGGCTGGTGGTGGGGTTCATGCCGAACTACGCGCTTCCCCGGACAGCGGCTTTGCTGAAAGAATTCCTGTTTGAGAGACCCTGCACTGGTCCAGCACCAAGGGCCGAGAGTTCCAATTCCAAGGCCCGGGTAGCGGCCACTTTGGTGCAGGGCCTGGCGGCAGCTGCAACTGCTTGCCTGATCTCCTCTTACATGGGATGGAAGGTCGGCAGCGGCCTCAGGATGAAAGCTTCTTGCTGCCGATTTCATGGAGCCCCGAGCGATTCTGGTGCCCAGGTCGATCTGGAAAGTGCCGCTCTCGGCTTCACATCTGTCGAAGCATTGCCGCTGAAGGAGAGCAGCAGAGCATGCGTCGCAGAGTCTCAGGTGCCATCCGGCTGACCCTTTGCAGAGGTGGGTTGCCGCATTTTCTACATGCCAGCACTTGTGACGGATAAGCGCGGTCCTGGAAAGCTTTTGTGACTGTGCCAAGGTATTTGCGAGAAACCTGCCTCGCCTTGGTATGCGTGATCATCCAGGAGTTGCCTTACTATGCAGCTTGCTGCAAACAGTCCTCGCTGCCTGTGTGGTCGAACCCTTGCGACCGAACCCCGAGCACGAGGCCATTCTGGGGATTCGCCGAGAGCGGTTTCTTCACGCTGGCTGGAACAAGGCAGCTTTGGCCTGCTGCTCCTGGTTCAAAAGGCGCCGCTTGGCTCATCCCTGCAAGATGCAGCGTAGGCCGGACTGGCCTATCCCTGTTTAAGCGACCAGTCCACGCTTGTGAATCCCTCCTACAGTTCCAAGCCCTCCTTTCAGCGCCGAGGAGTCTTCTGGTTCTTCATGAACCTTTGGTTCCTTTTGAGCGTGTCACTTGTCTGCAGTGCTTGTCCAGATTGAAGAAGTCAGGGGTTGGTTCGGTGGGTAGCAAGCAATGGTCAGTGTGGGGCCGCCAGCAATAGACAGCAATCGCCGTGACGACATCTTCACAGCAGCGAAAGTGACACGTGTCCAAGCAAGACCCACACACTCACGATGCAAAGGTTCTTCATCATCCAGTTTCTGGCGACATCCAGTGCGGAAGATGGTGACCACTGGATGTTCGTGGCCTGTCCTGTGCTTCCGAAATGCGGTTGGTCTAGTTGCACGATGGCTCGTCAGGGTAGCTTCACCGAGCGGTCAGGGAAGCAGCTTGGGTTTTGAAATGCCAACATACTGCGGCAATGATGAGGTGGTGTTCATCATTCTCATCATTGGCAATGTTCTGAAGCCGCTTGTTCAAAGCTGTTGCATCATGGCTGTCTACATCATGGCGAACCAGCTGGGCATGGCCCTTGTTTCAGACGAGGCCCTGAGCATATAGTTTTGGGAAGACCATGATACAAGCAGCTCTGCTCTGTGTGTGTGAGTCTCAACCCTGAATTGTGCGCCCTGCATCAGATTCACAACTGTCTGCGTGCTACTCATGCCAATGAACTGACTAACGAGGACTGATTTGCCAACGTGTGATCACCATGAACGGCCACCT